TTAATCCGTTTCGTAGTTGTCACTTATCTATTTTCATATTTCTTTAAATAATGAGAAAAGAAACAAATGAAAAACGTGCAACGTGGTGGCGACGGCAGGTGTTCAGCCAAATGACGTATTTAGCAGATCATCATGTTAAGAGACGGATCGAGTAAGACATGAATAATAGGTATTTGCGGTAAAATTAGGAGATTTTGAAATTTATACTTCACTTATATGTTTATTTCATGGTTTTAGTTATGTTTACATATTCCAAATATTTCCCTCTCCCCACTAGTTAAGTGTTTATTTCATGTTTTTATCTGTTTACATATTAAATATATTTCTCGGTACTAGGGCATATACTTGAGTCTTTGGGGCATCACCAGGCATATTCACGCCACTGTAGTGTTGTTTCATGGTAAGGGTGTTAGGCCAGTATTAATAATGTGAGGGATTATTAGATTGAATATGTTGTTCTCCAACTAAGTTTATTGCTGTAGATAATCATAAAATATTTATTTAATTTTCATTTCTTATAAATACTTTGCTTATTAAAAAAGGTAAAAATAGCAAAAATAACTACTGTGACTAAGCCTATGAATAGACAGACTGCTGGGCTTCAGTTAATAGCATAAATGATTTACGTTGTATTATCGATACATTGGTGCCAGCGAGTGTAGTTGGTGTTTTATTACGTATTATAACAAGTATTTTGCTTGATTTTATTCCCTGGATTATGTCATCAGCAAAAAATCACACTATGTAGTTTGGGTTCTCGCATAACTACCAAAGAGATGGACATTTTTGAATGGAATAGTTTTTTCCCGCTTCAAGTTCAATAATCCACAGAAATGTATGGAAGTGTTCGGATTTCACACGCCATTCAGAACCATACTCGAACATGCATAGTATCAGATCAAGATAATGCGATAATACAGAGATGTGACTTTCATTCATACCTTCTAGAATTCGTAAGGAGTGACCGTTTTTCTCTCTCTCTCTCTCTCTTTCGTCTCCTATTTCTCTCGTTCGTCTCTTCTCTCTCTCTCTCTCTCTCTCTCTCTCTCTCTCTCTCTCTCTCAGAAAATCGCTTGAGGTTTATGTCACCCCATTATTCTCCATGAGAATCTGTTGGCCTGGTTTAGGGTTGCCACTTCTGAACAGTCGGAATCCAGTTGCCTCCACTGACAGTCACCACACACTTTTGGGCCCTGTGGCGTCATATATATATATATATATATATATATTATATATATATATATATATATATATATATATATATATACATGTGTGTGTGTGTGTGTGTGTGTGTGTGTGTGTGTGTGTGTGTGTGTGTGTGTGTGTGTGTGTGTGTGTGTGTGTGTGTCATACACTGCACCATGCTTTATTATGTTTTAATATAATTACCAGCACAATAGAGAAATAAGCATTATATAGAATATTTTGAAAAAAGGAGAGGAAAATAACTTTTCGTGCGGCTGATCACCTTGATCTCCTAATTAAAATTGCTCCGGTTCTGACTGTGATTCAATACGTCCATGCATATACACACACACACACACACACACACACACACACACACACACACACACACACACACACACACACACACACACACACACACAGTGTATATATATATATGTGTGTGTGTGTGTGTGTGTTGTGTGTGTGTGTGTGTGTGTGTGTGTGTGTGTGTGTGTGTGTGTGTGTGTGTGTGTGTGTGTGTGTGTCTCTCTCTCTCTCTCTTCTATATATATATAATATATATATATATATATATATATATATATATATATATATATATATATATATATATATGATGGTATCTCAAATTCAAGATTTTTGGAGAATTATTAAATTGTTTACCGGCTGCGAATCCAAAAATCCAAGACAAGTTCTGGAAAACACAAATGTGTTACCTGTACGTAATTGCATTGCTCTTGGAAACCGCGCGCAATGCAGCCATATTACTCTCTCATACCTCATGTAATGGCTATAAGAATCAATTGCATTAGCGTGTAATTGTATTGCTCTTTGGTGCTATGCGTAATGCAGTTAATTTTTTTCTTATCCTTCCAGTGTATATTTTGAAATAAATGTAAGGAGTCTATTTAAACGTTTTTTTTTTGGGGGGGGGGGGGTAAATGGTCCATGACGGGATGTGAATATTAACATTTCGGTATTATTCTAACCATTATAAAAAAAATATGGATTTCTAGTATTAAAGACTAAGTGATTATACATTTATATACTTAAAAAAAGTGAAAATATGACTGGGTGAAATTGTTGCTTTCTTTTCCAATGAATATGAAATGTGCAGAATA